TTGGGGAACGAAAAAGCAGAGGAGAGCCTCCCGGTCTGTGTGTCTGTGTCTCTCTAAAATAGAAACACAGATAGCCATTTCTCCTTCCCTCTCACCTGAAACTTCTAGTTCACAGCTCCTGCTCTAACACTGAATGCTCTGCTGCTTTGTGTCCTTCTCAGACACCCAGTAATATGCACCACAGTAAACATTCTCCTATGGATGTAGGATGATGCACTAGTAGTTAGTCCCTGTGGTTTCTTCTCCACATTTTTTATTCTTTTTTTAAAACTTTTATTTAATGAAAATAAATTTCCAAAGTGCAGCTCCTGGATTACAATGGCTTCGCCCCCCCATAACTACCATCCCACTCCTACCCCTCCCATCTCCCGCTCCCTCTCCCCTTCCATTCACATCAAGATTTATTTTCAATTCTCTTTATATACAGAAGATCAGTTTAGCATATATTAAATAAAGATTTCCACAGTTTGCACCCACATAGAAACAGAAAATGAAAAATACTGTTTGAGTACTAGATATAGCATTAAATCACACTGTACAGCACATTAAGGACAGAGATCCTACATGAGGAGTAAGTGCACAGTGACTCCTGTTGTTGACCTAACAAATTGACACTCTTGTTTATGGCATCAGTAATCACCCTAGGCTCTTGTCATGAGTTTCATAGGCTATAAAAGCCTTTTGAGTTCACCGACTCTGATCCTATTTAGACAAGGTTGTAGTCAAAGTGGAAGTTCTCTCCTCCCTTCAGAGAAAGGTACCTCCTTCTTTGATGACCCGTTCTTTCCACTGGGATCTCACTCATGGAGATCTTTCATTTAGTTCATTTTTTTTTGGACATAGATCTTGGCTTTCCATGCCTGAAATACTCTCAATGCCTTTTCAGCTGGATCCACATGTCTTAAGGGGCTGATTCTGAGGCCAGAGTGCTGTTTAGGACATCTGCCATTCTAATCGTCTGCTGTGTATCTTGCTTCCCGTGTCGGATCTTTCTCTCTTTTTTATTCTATCGGTTAGTATTTGCAGACACTAGACTTGTTTATGTGATCCCTTTGGCTCTTAGTCCTATCATTATGATCAATTGTGAACAGAAATCAATCACTCAGACTAGTGAGGTGGCATTTGTACACGCCACCTTGGTGGGATTGAATTGGAATGCCCTGGTATATTTCTAACTCTAACATCTGGGACAAGTCAGCTTGAGCATGTCCCAAATTGTACATCTCTTCCCTCTCTTATTCCCACTCTTACATTTAACAGGGATCACATTTCAGTTTCAACACTTAAGAATAACTGCGTATTAATTACAGAATTTAACCAATAGTATTAAGGAGAACAAACTAAAAATACTAAGTGGGATAACATATTACATTGTTCATCCACAGTCAGGGTTAGCGCTGATCAAGTCACGGTTTCTCATAGTGTTCATTTCACTTTAAAAGTTTCCTTTTTGGTGCTGGTTAGTTGTCTCCAATCAGGGAGAACATATGATATTTGTCCCTGGGACTGGCTTATTTCACTCAGCATAATGTTTTCCAGATTCCTCCCTTTTGTTGCAAATGACCAGATTTCATTGTTTTTGACTGCTGTATAGTATTCTAAAGAGTACATATCCCATAATTTCTTTATCCAGTCTGCTGTTGATGGGCATTTAAGTTGATTCCAGGTCTTAGCTATTGTGAATTGAGCTGCAAGAAACATTAAGGTGCAGATTATTTTTTTGGTTGCCAATTTCATTTCCTTTGGGTAAATTCCAAGGAGTGGGATGGCTGGGTTGAATGGTAGGGTTATCTTCAGGTTTTGAGGAATCTCCAGACTGACTTCCATAGTGGCTTGACCAGTTTGCATTCCCACCAACAGTGGGTTAGGGTCCCTTTTCCCCCACATCCTCGCCGGCATCTCCACATTTTAACATGGCTTGATGAAGAATGGCTGCTGCACAGTTTTCACAAAGGACTGAAGCCTGGGCATTTTCTTTGCCTTGTGGTGATTGAACCCTTGGCCCCATTTGCTTTCCATTCTCGCCATGTGAATCGCATTACTGAGGAGCAATGGTTGAGCATGGCAGTGGTAAAACGGTATGTTTCTGTGACTTTTCTTCAGTTGTTTCCTTGTGGGAACTGGAATTCTTGCCCTTCATTGTCTTCCTTTTCCTTTCCCTTTAATGAGCAGGTACATAAATGAGGTTCAGGCGATCATATTTTGCCATACTTGCAATCTCTGTGGTAACTTTTGTTTTTTTCTTGGTAGAGTAGGCTGGAAAATGCACCTTACCCCCAAAATATCATCTTCCCAGTTCCCTGCAACTTATGGATGTGAAACATTGTGTGGCAATGTAGACTTGCTGGAATCATTTAAATCAAGGACTCTGAACTAGAAGGTTTTCCAGGATGATGTGGTTAAGGTCAAATAACCACAGGGTTCCTTTTGAGAAAGGAGCGAAGAAAGTAGCAGTTGGAGTGAAGAGGTTACAGTGGCAGCAGGTGTTAGAGAGATTCTGTATGAAGATGAAGACTGAATAAGAGAAAAAGGCTACAGGCAACCTCTGGATGCTGCAGAGCTTTAGGCTCCTTTCAGGGCTTCCAGTCAGAACCAGTACTACTCACAGCTCCTCATTCCTATATTGCACTTCTGTTCTCCAGAAGCATGCAGCAACACATTGGCATCTTAAGACTCTTGATATCCATAACTAACGGGGGACAGACTTTTATTTTAAGCCAGGGAGATTGCAGTGCTTTTCTGTGTTAGTGAGGGGAAATAAAGTCAGAACATACCTTTTTCTTAGATCTAGAGGTAATATAGGGCATGTTTAATTTTTGACAGGCTAATTTCTTTTGCTGTTGAAATATTATGCAGAATTGAGTTAATAGTAGCCCCAGTCATTACCCTATTCAGGAAGCCACCTGAATTTCCTTCAATTCTGTTGTTCTTTTTTTTTTTTTTTTTAAATCTCTGCTCACCAGTTCTTTCTTGTTGCTCCTCTCCCTTGGCATAGACTTTAATTTAGTTGACCTCATCTCTCAGAAGTTAATTCCAAGGCCGGCGCCGTGGCTCAATAGGCTAATCCTCCACCTGTGGCACCAGCGCCCTGGGATCTAGTCCCGGTCAGGGCGCTGGAGTCTGTCCCGGTTGCCCCTCTTCCAGGCCAGCTCTCTGCTATGGTCCGGGGGTACAGTGGAAGATGGCCACTTGGGCCCTGCACCCACATGGGAGACCAGGAGGAAGCACGTGGCTCCTGGCTTCGGATCGGCGCGTTGTTGTCTACATGCTCTGAGATTGTTACAGAGATTTAATATGAATTTTGCCTCATGACATTTTGTTCGTTCATGTTCTTCCAATTAATTGGTGTAGTTGGACTTTCCTAATTTTTATCAGTTTGATATATGGTAGCTTGTTTGCATTGCTGACTTTAACTTTACTTTTTCTGGGAGGTAACTGGGGTAATTATTTCTTTATAAATCTCCTATCCTTCAATCAGTGGTCATGGTAAATGACAGAAAGCCTAGAGACAGGGAGACTGAATGAGGCTAGCCTTATGGGCATTGCTGACGTTCAAAGTAAACACATATTGACCATATGACTGAAGATGTGTTCTATACTGGATGGAAGGCAGAACAGAGGTGCTCCAGATGTGAACTTCTTGTAACAGGGCCCAGATGTTTTCTAGCCAGGGAGCCAGAAATTGTAAATCCAAGGGTTTTCTCTTCTCTGAAAGCAAAAGGGGAGTGACGATGAGCAGTGGCAGAAGAGGCAGGTCTCATTGTGAACCAACATGACACTGATCTCAGTAGAAACAGAAACTACATAGATGTATAGATTTAAAACATATATTTTTTGACTGGCAGATTGGACAGTGAGAGAGAGAGACAGAGAGAAAGTCTTCCTTTTGCTGTTGGTTCACCCTCCAATGGCCCCCGCGGCTGGCGCGCTGCAGGCCAGCGCACCGCGCTGATCCAATGGCAGGAGCCAGGTACTTATCCTGGTCTCCCATGGGGTGCAGTGCCCAAGTACTTGGACCATCCTCCACTGCACTCCCTGGCCACAGCAGAGAGCTATCCTGGAAGAGGGGCAACCGCGACAGAATACAGTGCCCCTACCAGGACTAGAACCCGGTATGCCAGCGCCACAAGGTGGAGGATTAGCCTAGTGAGCCGCAGCGCCGGCCTGGATATGTAACATATTTTTAAACTCTCACCTAGAAGCCAACATGCAGATTGAATTTTGAAATTTAAACCTTCAACTTTTCTTACCAATTTAACAAACATAAGACTTCTTTGTGTCATTTTGATATATGTATACAGAGTGTAATTTTCAAATATTCTTCTTGTTTGTGTATGACATACACTACTAATAGTGTATTTATCTTAAATCTCGTGGTAGGATTTCCATTACTTAAATTGCGTCATCTTTGGTCATTGATGGTAGCAAATCTGTGGGCCTCCACCTATTTGCTGAACCCCTGGAATGGAGTGATGTCATCAATCTGTCACAGAATATTCCTGGTTACTGTTGACGTACTGTGTTCCAGGCTGGACAGTAATTAGGCGAAGAGAGAGACTCAGGCGATTTGTTCTTGGTATTCCCATTTCATTCTTTATCAGAGGTGACTTGCTGGGTGCCCAGTTGTAGAGAGGAAGGTAGTAGATTTGAGTAACTTTCCGAAGGTGGAACATACTAATGGAAACCAAAGGCAAATTATTTAGAACCCATATACCATCTCCTGATTTCAAAGAGATCAAAAGGTATGTCTTAGGATATTATCTAGTAACCGGTAATCAAAAACTGCCTTCTGAAAAAGAAAGGGAATAGTCTAATTGTGGAAGAGGAGAGGAGAGAGGGGAAAGGTGGGAGATGGGCTGTGGGTGAAGAGGGGAGAGAGAGAAGGAGAACCTGTGAGTGTGTGTGTGTGTGTGTGTGTGTGTGTGTGTGTGTGTACCAGTCTTCCTGAGGATCCAGGTCACTGAGAGTAAATGACCTGTATTATTATCTGTGCAACACAGGGCCTGTGCTACTTTATGGACTTTCCGTGGGTTGCTACGCCACAGACATGGTGATGCACTATGCTTGACAAATGATTGCTTTCTGAAAGAATTGCAGAGGTAGGTGATCGTCTTATAAGTTTTCCACAAGTAAATTATCCTTTCCTTTGTGAGGCAAGTGTGACTGCTTGAGATGAAAGCACACTTAAAACAGTTGGGGCAAGAAAACTTGTTGAGCAGGGGATGACATTATGACATGGTGTGTTAACAGTTGAGATGCCAGCATCCTACCCTCTGACAGAGGATGCTGGGTGACTCTCTGTTGCTCTGCTTCCATTCCAGTTTCCTCCTAATGCACCTGGGGAAGCAGTGGAATACGGGGGCAAATACTTGGGCCCCAGACAGCCTCATTGGAGCCCCTGGTGAAATTCTTGGCATTTGATTTTGGTCTGCCTGGCCTTGGTAGCCTTTGGGGAACTGAATAAGGATATAGACATGTGTCTCAACCCCTTTCTCTCACTATGTTGCAGAAGAAATAAATAAAAAATAAGCAAATGGATAAATAGTTTAAAAAGAAAACTGAGCAAGGATGAGTTCAAAATCATGTGAAGAACTTGTTTACTAAGGGATTTATCCAATAGTCCCACCTGTTCAAGTGCACCCACATACTAGTACAGAAACAACCAGGGGTGACAGATGTTAATATATAATGTGTTGCCTACATACCGTCTTCCAGCGATAAAAACACATTACACCTGAATTTTAATTTGGAACAGACTAAGCTTTTATCAATAACCTGTGATCAACCTATTTCTTGCTTTTATAAGACTTCAGGATATATGGGGAGATCCTTAGGGAGAAGTCTTCATGTGACACATTATGGCCTTAGATTGATGAACACTTTCTCATCATTATAGGCAACTTGCATAGGAAACTTGGATTGTTACCATCCCAGAAGAACAGAAAAGGAAGAGCATGAAGAGATACAGAGGTTTGTATGGGTGGTGGGTATGGTCATGCCTGAAAGGTGCTTTTGTCATTCCTTTCCTTTGACCTAGACGTATGCTCAGAACTATCAGTAAGGGAGGTAGGCAAATAAAACAACAGGTACACAGGTGGACAGAAGATTGCTTATGTGTTCTACTCTGTTGAAAATGAGACACTGTGCAGTACTGCCACCCATAGTATGCACGGATGGAATAATTAACAACTATCTTACCTTACAGCATTTAATTGCAGGAACAGAATGTGGAGGCCATGAGTGGTCATGGAATCTGCCACGTAGAAGATGCTTATTTAAGTATGGACAAATGCAAATATACACCAGATGTGAAACACATCTCTTACTTTATTAACTTTTTCAGTCAAGTTTTATTTACAAATATGACCTGCACTGTAACCTAAAAGGACCATACCAACCTGATACCACAAAGCAAAGGCTGCTGCTTCCTTTTGTGCTACTTATCCTGCCTCTCAACTGAGGAGAATCTCACTGGGGCAGGGATGGAGAGACTCAGCAGGGAAAGTAGAAGCTTTCTCACAGTAGAAGGTTTTTCTCATAGCACAGAGATGAGCTGAATGATCTACTCATCAGTTGACACAATTCTGCATAGTCCAGAAAAAATCTCAAAATGTTGTCTTGCCTTTTCAGTACTATCTTGGAATCTAGGAGGCAGCCTACTTCTTAAGGGAAAGGATTGTTTTAATTCTTGGTTCTCGAGATTTGAAGTCTGGGGTCCTTGTGTTTTGAAAGGGCAAGAATCCCAAGGTGATACCTAGAACCAGATGTCATGAGGCAGGTAAATAAAACAAGAATACATGAGTCTGTGTTTCTGTGTCAGTCTTACAGACACAGCAGAATTCAGTAAAGTGACCTCTGTGCTAATAATCTGATATAAGCCTAATCACTGCTTAGTGTCCCACCCCTACACCTTGTGGCATCTTATGGACCTAACAACTCAGGTATTTTCAGGAATGGTTTTGTTGTATTTTCTTTAAGATTTACTTATTTATTTGGAAAGAATTACAGAGAGGCTGAGTCAGAGGGAGTGATCTTCTTCGGGTGGTCTACTCCCAGACAGCTACAATGGCTTGAGGTGGGCCTATCTGAACCAGGAGCTTCTTGCTGGTTACCAATATGGATGCAGCATCCCTAGGTCTTGTACCGTCCTTCCACTGCTTTCCAGGCATATGAGTAGGGAAGTGATTTGCAAGGAGCAGTAAGCTAGGACAGGACTGGGACTCATAGTGGATGCGCTCACTGCAGGCATTGGCTTTACCCACTACATATGGTGCCAGCCCCAGGGCTGGCTTCTCTTCTGGGTTGATGGAGGAGTGTCCTTCCTTCCTGTGGCTTCACACTGTCCTTGATTTTCCCCTTCAACAAAAATCTCCAGCCTCTTGTTTCCACTGTCACATATCTCGCCATCCTTTTCACCTTCTTGCCTCCCAGCTTAAATATCCTCGGGGTGACAGTGAAGATCCCACCATTGTACTCTAGGGTGCTTCTCATAAAAGCCTTGGTTTTCCATATCAGCAAATTCCCCTTCACATACTAGGTAAATTCACAAGCTCCAGGGTTAGATTGTGCCTTCGTGGGGCAACATTACTCAGCGTTCTCGTAACTATAATGGAGCCATAAA